TGGGGTTGCACTGATGTTCCTGGGGGTGCTGGGGGGGGAGGTGGGGGTGCAGCAAGGCTTCTCGGGGGCATTTGGGTCAGGCTTGAGGTTTCTGAGAGCCCAGTGGAGTTTTGGTGTGTGCGGGGGAAGTGGGGTTCCTGGGGGGGTTACAGAGCAGCAGAAGGTTGGGGTGCTGCAGGGAGAGGTGGTGGTGATGTCTGTCGTTGTGTCTTGCCTTATTGCAAGGTGGTTTGGGGTGTTGCAGTGTACTCTGGAGATGGGGTATGGTGGAAAGGGCCCCCTGGGAATGAGGTTCCCTGGGGAAAGATGAAAAGTCACAATTCAGGGAAGGCAGTCGCTGAGGGGGCTGGGTGTTGTGGGAGGAAGGTGCTGGCATTTTGGGATGCCATGGCTGGCGGGGTGCCATGGAGAGGCTGGTGCTTGGCCTGAGGCTGTAGGAGTGCGGACCAGACTCCCCAGGATCAGCAGACTCCTGCAGGTTGTTCAGTGAGAGCACCCCGAGGTGCCGCCTTGTTGCTTCTTTGTAGCTTAACAGCAATTTCTTCTCTCCATTTTCCAGGGCACTTCACCTCAGCGGAGGATTTGAACCTGCTGATCGCCAAGAATACACGACTGGAGATCTATGTGGTGACAGCGGAGGGGCTGCGGCCCGTCAAGGAGGTGGGGATGTACGGCAAGACCGCCGTCATGGAGCTCTTCCGCCCCAAGGTGGGTGCGCTGCGGGGAGGGGGCTGCTCGCCAGCTGGGGAGAGCAGGCGCGGGCACACTGGGGCTGCTGGCTCTGACACCCTCCTGAAGGCATGCTGCCACTCTGCTTTGGCAGGGGGAGAGCAAGGATTTGTTGTTCATCCTGACAGCCAAGTATAATGCCTGCATCCTCGAGTACAAGCAGAACGGGGACAGCATTGATATTATAACCCGTGCCCATGGCAACGTGCAGGTGAGTGAAGCTGCAGCACCTGGAAGGGGAAAATTCCCTTCCTTAGGGTTGGTTTTACTTTTCTAGTGAAGGGTGTGCTTAAATGATGGGGTTTTGTGTTGTTATTTATGATTTTTTTCTGCATACCACCAACTCCAGTATGGTTCCTCTGCTGCCACTGGTATTTCCAGAGTTTTTTGCCTGCAGTAGGTCAGTCTTGGGCTCAGGGACTGAGGACACGGCTACAGCTGTGTTCTCGGGGTCATATGCAGAATAATAAGGTTAATTTGAGGTAGTTCTACTGTAAAAAGAATTAGCGCTCAAAACTTGATGTAAGGTAAAATATTCCCTGGGAAATGACTCCTCCAGTATTTCATGGCCGGTGTCTACACGCTGCATACCAGAACCATGACTGCTGAAGTTACTCTTACCATCATGGCCGTACAGCATTGTTAATAATTGTAGATGTTCTCCATTGTTCTGTTTTATGTGGATTAAAATCACCCCTTCTGAGCAGGTCAGAAATCCATGTGTCTCTTTGGCTTTTTGTTAGTCATTAGCCAAATGATTTTCATCAGCTCTCAAGCCAAAATATCTTCCGTCTGTTGCCAGGCACTGAGCTTCCACTGGTGGAGCTGACCAGGGGTTACAGGCAGGAGATGTAGGTGGGCATGTCCTGTCAGTAACATGTTCGTGTGTCTGGCAAAAAATGCTTAATCTTCCCGTGCCACAGTTCTGCCTGTGCCATGGTTCCGCCTCGTGACATATGGAGATGCTGATATCAGCCCCCACCGAGTAACACTGGGGGGTCTGTAGAGGCTGATAACAGCACTGGATTTCTGGAGGGTGAATTTTGGTCATGGATATCAAAGCATTTTGCAGCAGCAGAGAACATTGTTCTCTGTCAGTGATAGAAACTGGAGGTGCAGGACAGCAACGTGGCTTCTCTGAGGTCATTCAGTAGCAAGCTGGGATTAGAAAACCAGTTGCAAGGTCCGCTCCTGGAGCGCCTGGTTCCCGGGAGAGAGAAAGTGTGTGCTGTGGGAGCTCTGCCAGGCTCTTTGGTGGAAAGGGCCAGCTGCTTTAGGCAGGAGATGCCCGAATCACCTTTGGCTTGCCAGATGGTATTTTAAAGCCTGCTGGGAGGTGTGCAGGGAGCCCTTCCTCAGCCAAAGGGTGGTAACTCTTGTGTCTACTATTCTCGAGTCCCACACAGGAATCTTTTTCTAATGCTAATTGCCCTTCCTCTTTCCCGTCTCCATGGATCTCTCGCTCAGGATCGCATTGGCCGTCCCTCAGAGACCGGCATAATTGGCATCATTGACCCAGAGTGCCGGATGATCGGCCTGCGGCTCTATGATGGCCTCTTCAAGGTCATTCCCCTGGACCGGGAGAACAAGGAGTTAAAGGCTTTTAACATTCGCCTGGAAGAGCTCCAAGTCATCGATGTGAAGTTTCTCTATGGCTGTCAGGCTCCAACCATCTGCTTCGTCTACCAGGTACCTTGTTCTCGATTGGTGACTCAGGCGGAGGGTGCTGGAGATTGCTGGTGCACTAGCCAGGGTCTCTAAAAGTCTTCCAAAGGACTTG